TGAAATTTTGGACGTTTGCTCATAGGTTGACAATCAAAAAGTTAGATTTTTCTTCCAGCTGCCTTCAAGTGCTTTCATGGCAGGACCCTATCAGTTCCTAATGGTTTTCCATTATCCAATGTTTTAAACCTTGAAGGCGGATGTTAGGTTGACAACCAGCTGTGCAGCCTTTGTCAATTCTTTTGTTGGAGTTTTCTCAACTTTAAGTCATGCTCCATTGCAGATGTCAATTTGATATGAAAACACTAAGGTGGTTATGATCATGTTTGATAATGACAGTGGCAATGATGAGTTTGTTAGTTCGTTCTTTTTGCATCGGATTTGTAACGGAATGATGTATTGATTAAATTATTCCACATGCTTAGTATTGTGGTAGGTTTCTTATGCCTTATCCTTGAATGTTGATAAAGTATTGTATTTATCAGCCCTGTTCAATGGGATTTGCAACTGGTGGAAGGACATTCTTTCTATGGGGAGGCTGCATGATGGTATAAATCACAGTTTAGCATACACGCATCTCATATAAATGTGGAGACCATGGTTAAATGTTGAAGGTCTTGTTTCATTCTCTGTGCACACAGATGCATGCAGATGATTTCAGAAAAGACTTGTATGGTATTGTCACTGGACTTCGAGATGGCGGATATTCAGATGATATGACTCTTGCAGCAATATCTGGTATGAACTTGCTCTTCTTACATGCATAAACTGATATTCATACTGCTTTTTCTTGTGCTTTCACACCAATTGTAATACGTACATGCAAAAACTGAGTTTTATACTCTGGTTTGGTCCATGAAATTGACTGCACCAAATTGGGCGTTCCTGCAGTGTTACTGTTATATCATCTCTTTATAGTTAGGATCTACAAAACTGAGGGATTCGGTCCGGGTTGTCAAATCTAATCAGAGAACTTTGTGCTTTTTCTAAATGGAAAAGCCTAATTGCAGCGCTTTCTGGAAGAGGAGTTTAGTGGTCACGGTAGGTTATTTTATGCAGACGAATTTCTTGTCACTTCTTTCACTTTATATGGTCATGAAAGACTGCAGAGATTCTGAAAATAGAATTCTTAAGTCTTCTAGAAAAAAAAAAAAGAGAAACCACTTTTAATCAATGATAGTGAAGACAACTTGTCTCACTAAAACATAATTTAAGGTGGAGAAAGTGGAAGGAAGTGGTACAGGAGGAAGAGTGGGACAATCTAGGGTTAATCATCTATTCTTTAGGAGTGAAATGAGGAAATGATATGAGAAGGTAAAGAGTTGAGAGCAGCGGTTGGCTGCTCAATTTCCTATCCTGTTCCCTTCTATCCTTAACTCCAAAACTGCGTTGCATGAAACTAGGTTATATGGGTTATGGTGAATATTACGCTTATGAAACTGGAATTCATCTAATATATAGAGTACTAAACCTTAATAGATGGGTTTCCACTATTAACCTGAGACAACTTTCTTTATTTCTATCACAACTAACCCCTTCAAACAGATAATTATGGAGACATGCCTTTTTAGGTTAAAAATGCCATGAACGTATGTTGATTCCAATCTGATGTTTATATTCAAGTGCAAAAAGTTTACTGTCATTAAGATGCCACATTGTATTCAAGTCTCTATTAATATGTGCCTTCTTAGTCCATCTTTCACCATGGATTGTAATTTGAAGCCTAATAATTTGTATGTATATATGTCATTTAAATTCGAAGAAGAAACTTTAATGAAACAATTGGAATAGTCAAAACCTACTAAATCAAAACATAAAAATGGAAAAGAAGACAATTTTCTAAAGCTTAGCATAAAATGTGTCTGAACATTTACCTGAACGAGGCATTACGTTCAAATTAATTTTCAGAGATTTGAAACCAGTGCTTAAGGCTAAAACTTTCGAATCACAGAGATCTTCAAAAACTGAAACATTATTGAGGAAGAAAACCTTAAAGGTAATAAGAGTATTACAAAGGATCATAAACCAAAAGCATGTTATAATGTCTTTGTATGAGATACAAAATCATTTGTCTGTACGGGTCAAAAGGAGTGAAATCTGACGTACCCACTTCAGTAAAGATGGCTAAATCAACTCGGAGAAAACAAAATCCCTAGTAATTAGAGAACATTTAACAAATTGAAGCCGCAATACTTACATCAATTAACTAAGAGTTAAAATTGACAACAATGACAAGAAAGATATTCTAAATCAACAAAAACTAAATAGGGTTTCAACTCACGAGCTTACGTTGGTAATCAATTTTCTGAGGAGTTGGGAAGAACTCTTTTGGTGACCGGTGAGGTTCTTTGAGCCTTGGATAGTCTTGGACAACTAAGAAGAGAAATTGAGGAGGAAGAAGCAGACGTGATCGTCAAGAGGTGGGAATTGCAATCTTTTTGGTTCCGGGTATTTTGTGAATCGGTTTTGAGTGATGGGTTTGAATATTTTGGGTTTGGGTAAAGGGAAATAAATGGACTCATAACCATTTGAACTTCTAACTTAAACTAGACCAACTTAACTACTTCACAAACTTGTACATAACACTATATATATGCAAAAAAAAATTCTAAAAT